GGGATAGGAGAGAGACCTACTCCTATTCGCCGAACACTGGACCACCTACTCTAGTGTGACCAGTTCCTGACACATCACACTTGGGTCATCAGACTCTGACATCTATGACAACCCAGATCCAGACTTCGACTCCTGACCAGATCAGCAGCAGTCACCTTCAGAGGGTCAGAGAGAGAGAAGGTAGGGGACACACACATGCATGCAGCTTCAGGGAAAGGAGGTGCTTCTCTTTTCTTGAAGATACCGCCGATGAAGATTCTCCACGACGCTCTGCACGCTCCAGGTAAGTAGATCTCACCACTTCTTCTTTGGCCTGCTTCCCACACTATCGCACACTTCTTCTCCTCCTCCCTCCTTCACTATCCTCCACCACTTCTTCTCGCCGGCCTTGATCAGGCCAGCGCTATGAGTGTAGCGAGCATCTGCTCTGATACCAAATTTTTGCATGGGTCCTGGGGACCATCTCACGCAGATATGTACATGTCATGCATCATCTTCACACGCAGTGATCAATAGTCTCAACCATAGACAAAGGTAGAGAAGAAAAAAACCGAGTCTCAMAGCTTATATTATCAGAAATATGATTACAAAGTGCTTCAAAGTTCCCCTGAGTCCAGCGCTCATCAGTGCAACCCAAATCTCTGCTCAACTCATCAATATGCCTTCCAAGGCATCAGCGCTACCTCTGCAGATTGTCTCCTAGTCATCAATATGGTCACCACTCATCAGCGCCAACTCTGCAGTTCACAACCAACTCAGGTAAGTGTCTCCCATAGCCAAACCTTGAATGAACACTCTTCGTCTCAATCTCTTCCTCCTACGATGCATGCACACACTGTTCTCTCAAGGATCTACTCTGGATACTACTCATAGCTAAGTACTAACCCTTCTACTCTACTTACTAAGTCACTGGGCAGCATGGCTGCATCCCTTCCAGCGCACAGTCTTCTTCTTCCCTCTTAGCGCATCTTCCTTCCTCCAGSGCTACTCCTACTGACTAACGCACAAGTGCACCAGCACTTCCACRCATTCAAGCCAGTGGAGATCTGGCGAGGAATGAGGCTGGCAGCTTTCTTTATAGTGCTGGCCACTCCTCGCTGGGTCTTCATTGGCTCAATTCAGCCTGTCCTTTGTCCCAGTCCCTGCATTGCATGTGTCCCAGTGTAGTCCCAATGAGGTTCGACTGCTGCTGAGGCCTCTCAGCCGAGATTTGGATTTCAAAGTCTGGATCTGGACTGACCCCTTGACTTAGACCAGAACTGGGACTGTGCCTATTGACTTTATTTTCGGACAGGCACAACTCTAAACGAACAGACACATTCCTTTACACGAATAGGTACACTGTTTGCACGTACAGACACACTCTTACCCGAACAGACATGACATACACAGCTCCTGGTGAACAGGTAAGTCCTTTGACAATGCCCTTTGCCTTAGATTTAGATGTGCCTGTTGAGAGAGAACTTTGACCTTTGACCTGCTTTCACGTTTCTGAGCCCTGGCGAGATACCTTTTCACAATGGTTTACGTTTTCAAGGCCCGTGCTGCTTTATTTTTACAAGGCCTGAGGCCTATATCGGGTAAAGGCCCTTTTAGAATGTAGAAGCTGGAACCAATGTCCAAAGTAATCCCCTCACTGCCGGCATGTCCAGAGGAGCTCCCTTGCCTCTCCTACTTTTCCCTGGACCTAACGGATGGCTGCTGGCTATATGCTGGGGCATCGAATGTGACCTCGGATGTCTGAAGGGCAACGCAGAAGCTCCGATGTCCTTTCCTACGCCACTACCTTCTTCCCCCGAATACAACGTACGGTCATTATAGCTGAATTTAGACTGAAAGATACCCCAAATACAGCTATTATGTATTATGAACGTACCCTGTATTCTGGGCAAGAAGGTAGTGCCATGCCCGCACTCACGGATGGAAGTATCAATACACTTCGAACCCCGCGTTGGGCCCTTCAAGGTGCAGCGTCAACCAAGATGACGAAGCTGCAGGTCCACCATAGCCAACCAAGATGATGAGGCTGCAGGTCAACCATAGCCAAGGTAAGGCTCTCCCTTCACTCTCCTCCCTGAGGCTCTCCTTCTTCTTCCCCCTCCTTTTTCCCTCCTCTTTCATCTTCCTAGCTGCTGCTTGGTCCTGCTTCAGCCAAGCTCTCAGTCCAGCAGCCGGTCTACCTCCAACTGAAGAAAGAGGAGCAGCAGTGAGGTGCTCCTGCTATGCTTGGGCGGCGGCCTCCTTCCTCCAGCGCCTCCCAGCCGGTCTACGTCCAACTGAAGAAAGAGGTGGAGCAGTGAGGTGCTCCTCCTGCTATACTCGGGCGGCGGCCTCATTCCTCTAGCGCCTGCCTCCCAGCCTACCCACCCTCTCCCCCCTACCGCTTCCCTGCCTTTTTTGCAGTATAAGTCCCCTCCGCACTGCCAGTCTCCCTCCAGGACCTGGACCTCGACCCCTCCCGGGGCAATGTGCGGCCGGTACCTTCCTGATTCTTCCCCTACCCCTACCGGGAGTCGAGTAATTCCGCGGCTTAACAAACGTTTTATTCGTCTTGGTCTACCTTGTTGCCTGGTCTACCTAGTTGCTTGTTCTAGGCCTACTTTGGCCTACCTACCCCAGTCCGCTACCCGCTGCACAGGCCGCAGTCACGGCGCCAGGGGTTAGCACCAGGCCCAAGGGGCCAAATCAGTAATGCAGGCCATCGCACCTGGTCACACAAACACTTGGAACTGAGAGACACACACAGCCGACAGAAAAAAACAACACTTGTGATCCCAGAAACAGACTTTCTTCCCCCCCCCCCCCCCCCCCCAGAAACAGACTCAGACGTCAGAAATCAGAAATCTCAGCAAGCACACGGAGGAGCAGCTGCAAAAGTGAAAAAAAATAAAAAAAACAAAAAAAAACAATGAAATTTCAGTCTGCAATTTTGTGGTTTATTGAAGAAGGACAAAGAAAACTGAAAAGTCGTTAGTCAGGAATACAAGTGTTTCCTGATTTCATCGGATGCGCTGAAGGATGACACGCATAAATCAGGAAACGGTGCAATTTTTTTGAGAAAACAAAAAAGGAATACATGTGGGTTGGTTCCGATGTGGGGCTATCCCACTGTCGTTACAACAGTAGGTACTATCGTCTTTAGCCGAATAGAACGCTCGGTCATTATACCTGTATTTATTTGGTGCAACTTTCTGTCTAGATACGGTGATAATGACTGGGTACCATTCCTTTTGCCTGCAGACGATGGGCAGCTAAACTTTCCACTGTTGGACTCTGGATTGCGACCGCTATTATAGCATATGAAAAGAACCCCCTCTTCTCATCCTGAGTCCTAACGGATGGCAAGCAGGCCGAGGCTTGATATTCGGCAAGCCCGGGCTAACAGAAAAACAAAAGGGGTTTGGACCGTTTGGGGGAGGCAGAATTGAACCGAAAAGGAAGCAAAAAAGAAATGGTGGTCAAGGGCTTTCTACTTCTTCCTTTTTTTTTT